AGATATGCAAATGTTAAGGTTGAAGAAGCAGACATTTAGTGCCTAAGGGAATTTGTACTAGAAAACCCTTTTCTTCTGTAGGATGACCCTCCACTGAAAGTAAAGACATGCCTGTGCCTTGCAGCTAGATAGATATACATTTGAATTGCAGTTCTGCCACTTCCTGGCTGGAATCATCTCACACAAGAGACTTTAACGTCTTGGGGCATCCATTTCATCATCTCTAAAACAGGGACAAGGCCAGGCGGGGTGGCTCATGCCTGTAATTCCAGCACTTTGGGAGGCCAAGGCGGGCAGATCACTCGAGGATAAGAGTTGGAGACCAGCCTGGTCAACATAGTGAAATCCCGTCTCTACTGAAAATACAAAAATTAGCCGGGCATGGTGGCTCACGCCTGTAATCCCAGCCACTTAGGAGGCTGAGGCAGGAGAATCGCTTGAATCCGGGAGGGGGAGGTTGCAGTGGGCCGAGATTGTGCCGCTGTACTCCATCCAGCCTGGGTGACAGAGCAAGGCTCTGTCTCACAAAAAGAAATAAAATAAAAATAAAACAGGGGCAATACCAAAGGTGGCTGTAAAGGCTAAAGGAGATAATGTAGCTCCTGCCTACCACACAGCAGGCCACAAAGTAGCCTCCTCCTCCCTATATTCCACATTTCAGGCCTCTGAAATGGCCAGTTTTTTCCAGACTGTCCAGTGCTTCTCCCCATAAATAGTTATTTCTCTTTTACCATGCCAGCTTCTCTGGCCAATCAGATCAACCCAAATACAAAGACAGAATATCTCTTTCAGACATTCTGAATCTCTTACAGGGGTATATCAGAACATATCTGCCTCAAGGCATCACAAAAGAGCCAGCTCTGTCAGCAAAATGGTCCTAAAGTACAAAAGTGGCTTCTAACAACCCACAGTTTCTGCCTCCCCAGGAAAGTTGAAAGATACTTATCAATGAAGTTATCTTTCCACCTAATTTCCAAATCCTCTTGGAGGGAAAAAGGTAGCTGTCCAAAATTCACCAAAAGAAATGGCTTTAAGTCTGATTTTTTTTTTTTTTAGATGGAGTGTTGCTCTGTCACCCAGGCTGGAGTGTAGTGGCGCGATCTTGGCTCACTATAGCCTGTGCCTCCCAGATTCAAGTGATTCTCCTGCCTCAGCCTCCTGAGCAACTGGGATTACAGGTGCACACCACCATGCTTGGCTAATTTTTGTATTTTTAGTAGAGATGGGGTTTCACCATGTTGGCCAGGCTGGTCTCAAATTCCTGATCTCAAGTGATCTGCCCGCCTTGGCTTCCCAAAGTGCTGGGATTACAGACATGAGCCAACACACCTGGCCAAGTTTTACTTTTCATAATTTGTATTCCTAAAACAATTTTCTCAAATATAAAGCTGTAATATTAGCATACATATCCAACAAATTATCATATATCCCTTGAAAATCACTGGCTTGGAGAATCACTAAACTTATTCTAAGTATTCAAGGCTTATCCTCAAGTATCTTGTCATATCAGTGACTTATGCATACATCTAGAGATACCCAGCAATGCAGAAGAAAGTAGAAGTAGGTGCTCAATAAATGATTATTACTTGAACCAGTGGGTTAAGAAGGGGTCAGAGAAGAGCATAAAGCTCAGTGAGTTAACAAGTAATAATTATCAAAATCAGCAATTTAGAAGGTACCCTACACACATTTCAACTTCTAGAATTTGAGTTTATGGTCATGAGAAAGATACCCATTGACAGTAAAACTTGTCAAAGTAAACATATAATAGACAAAACTA